CACACACACACACACACACACACACACACACACACACACACGGGTCATTCGCTTATATTTCATCACTTCCACCAGCGTGCGGTTGATTGGCTGTGATTGGTCGGCCGGCCGGTTGGTTACCGTGGGCGACCGCCCCCCTCCCTGGATCCAGAACTCGTCTCCTGGCGGGTTTCCCTGCCCGGTTGCCATGGTTACCACTGCAGGCCATTACCGCCGTGAATAAGAACATCATCTACCCCCCGACCTGAAATAACCCCACCACAGGGGGAGAGGGGCGACAGAACCGAGTCCACGGGGCAAATCTGGAGGGCCGGGGCGGAAACGAGTCGGAAAACAAAGACGGAAACCGACGAAGGAACGGGTTCAAGTTGTTCTGTTGGTGCTCGACCAGCATCCAGACCATCTACAGGTCCAACATGAGCTGCTTATTATGGGATAGCAGCCACATCTCCAGTCCTTAGAGGACAAGACGAGTCCAGGTCTTTAGACAACAAAAGACATCTTCAGCCTCAAGAACATAGAGTCACATTCAAGTCCCAAGTCTTTTAGTCTCAGTACAAGTCAGACCTCAAGGACCACACCCGTCTCAGACCTTTAGAGGAAAAAGTCTCAAGTCTTTACAGGACAAGTCCCACATCTTCAGAGTCGCAGTCGAGTCCCAAGTTATGTCTGAAGTCTCTAGAGAACAAGGTCTAGTCTCTATCAGACCACGTCAAACCTCACGTCTTTACATCGAGTCTCTGGTTTTCAGACTCCAGCTGAACCTCACCGTGTGGATGCAGGGCAGCTCCTTGTTGAGTAACCACGGTAACGAGAGGCGGCCCTCGCCACGGTAACAGGACCGGATCCTCTCCCTCATGGCCAGGTTGATGTCGTGGAGGGTGAACAGGCACAGCACCGTCTCTCTGGGCGGGTTGGACCGATTCTTCTGACCCTGAACACAAAACAAACGAGTCTGAGCGCCGCCGGTTCAGGAAGCAGGAAGCAGGAAGCAGGAAGCAGGAAGCAGGAAGCAAAGCAGGTAACTCACCTGAGAGAAGACAACAAACAGGACGTCGTCGTCCTCGGACAGGCCGAGCGCCTGGGCCAGCCGCCGCCCCGGTTTCTGCTTGTAGGCGGCCTGGACCAGCCGGTACTCAACGCCGTCTTTGGTGCAGCCCAGAGGGAACTCCACGTACGAGTAGAACTCGGTGTCGTTGGAGCACATCCGGACGATCTTGGAGGTGAAGAATTTCTCTCCGCCGGCGTCCATCTGGGTCAGCTGCGTGTCCAGCTGCAGCGTCAGGAAGTACACGTATGTGCGGCTGGAGAAGCCGTAGACGTAGTAGATGTCGAAGGCCGGGTACAGCGACAGCGTGTCAGACGGGATCTTGATCTGCGAGGAGACGAACTCGTCCTGGTAGACCAGCGAGAACATGTTGACGCTCTCCTCATCCGCCACCAGCTTCCTGCTGGACAGCGTGGGGAAATACTCGGACTTCCCATCGATGGCGGCGCCGATGAACAGCCGGCTGCTGCCTTTAACCGGCTTCTTCCTCTTCGGGTCGGCCGTCCAGTCGTCCTCGCCGACGACGACGCCTGCAGAGGAGACGACAGAGTCAGAACCAGGACCTGACGAATCTCACAGGTCGAACCAGCTGCTAGTCTGAACTCCTCCAATCTACTGAGCCTGGTTCTGGTTCTGGTTCTGGTGGAGGACTTTTTGTCCCTTTACTACATGTCTTGCTTTAAAGTTCTCCACAAATAACCTCTAAGCAGGGCCAAGTTTCTCTAACTTCTGTGTTCCTCAGAAAAACCATGATTTCCTGCTACCTGTAGTTCTGCCCTGGGTTTTGTCTGACAGGCCACAAAACATTTATCTTTTAATTTACAGTTGATAATGTGGAACGCAAACTAAACAATAACGCTACACTTAAACAGAAGCCAAGTCTGAAACAGACTTCTGGTAAATAGACCTGCAGCCTGTCAGAGTTTTGGACTCGAGGACTTTATGTTGCAGCAAAAAATGAGTCCGAAGCAAAAACCTTCCTGCGTAAACAGTGTGTGTGTGTGTGTGTGTGTGTGTGTGTGTGTGTGTGTGTGTGTGTGTGTGTGTGTGTGTGTGTGTGTGAACAGCCTCGCAGCTCCGTATGTACTCACTATCCAATCACATCTAAAGGATTTACTCTGAATCCTTCAGACGACATCAAATTACTGAAGATAAAGACGCTCAAACTTCTGCTTCACTGTTAAAACGAGAGAGAATCAGATGTGCTGCTTCATCTGCTGCCTAGAAAGCAGAACGACGATGAAACTCATCCGGCTTCACCTTCCTGCCGACGTCCTGCTGAAACAGAACCAGCAGGTGATAAAGCTGCAGGACGGATGTAGTTCAGCGAGAAGGCTTTGACGGAGCTGTCGCTGAGGCTGCTCCACCGCACAAACAAATGTTCCACTAAATTAAATCACACTTTTATCAGTGACATCTGAGCAGAGAAAATATTCCAGCGAAGCAGAAAGAACACAGACTGGGAGTGAGATATGTGGACACAACGTCAATCTTCTGCTGTTTGTCCCGACAGTCGTCATTCAGGGGTTTTGTTCCAACTGGAAACTGCAGCTGCTGATTTTAGAATAAAAACCGACTAAATATTTTGACACGTCGGCGCTTGATTGGCGTCAGCAGGTTGAAATGTTTCTGCAGAACAGAGTGGAGGGAACGCTGCAGCGTGCTGAACACGGTACCGGCTCAGTGGATTCATCTGGTACCAACACACATCTGCAGCTTCTCCACATCGATTATACGTTCTGAAATGATTTCCTTCATTGAACAGCTCCTGGTTTCACTTCATTTCTGCTTTGAATTGAAAAATAACTAAAAAACTTTGTGTCCAACCCTCAGCACCACCTGTCTTCTGTACATTTCTTCCGTCTGAAAACACCCCACAGGGTTAATTAGTATCATTATGTGTTTGACCTAGCTTAGCATGAAGACTGGAAGCAGGGAACCCAGCTAGCTTAGCATAAGGGATAAAAAAAAAAACACCTTCAAACAACCTTAAGGTGGTTTGATTTCACATTTTCTGAGCTAACAAGCTAGTTTGGCCTGTTACTAGCTCGACCTGTGATTTAAACTATCAGCCTTTGTGCTAAGCTAGGCTAAACACACACTAGAGAAAAGGTCAAATGCCTAATGCAACAGTTAGCTCTGGTTAGCAGTTAGCTTTTCTAACTATTCCAGCAATGAAAGTCAGCTTAGGATAACAGGAAGCTTTTGTTAGCAGGCTAGAATCAAAGTAAGCCTTCGTCATCTGTTTGTTTTTGCCAACAGTCCAGCAGTTGAAGTTAGCACTGAGTAAGAGTTTTTGCTAAAGTTCACATTAGTTAGCAGTTAGCTTTTGTAAAGGAATGCTAGTTTTAGTTTATTGTAAAGCTTATAGCTAGCTAATGAAGACAGGATTTTAAGCAGATGAGTGAAGTCACTGGTGGTTGTTGGCTAACAAATGCTACGATGCTAAAACCAGGGACTGCTTTTACATGACCGTCTTTGTGCTAAGCTAATCGAAACGCATCCTGGACATATGTAGTGAAACTAACATCCATCTTCTCATCTGACTCTGGAGCAGATTTCTGAAAATTAGCTTTAGCTTCAGCTAACAGTTAGCTTCCCCTGTGTTAGCAGTTAGCTGCATGAATGTTTTAATATGATTTAGGAGCTTTTTGTTCTTTCTCTGGTGTTTCTACCTGTTCAGGTGCATGTGGCCCCGCCCCCTGCTGCAGCCCAGCCTACCTGCCATCCCATCAGCCTCTCTGGCTCCAGACAGGTAGTGCTCCTTGCGGTGATGTGGTTCTCCCAGTTTGAAGAGATCCTCCAGTCTGAGGAACTGGCAGACGCCCTGCCAGATGGAACCACAGGCCACCAGTCTGTTCCCAGTATAATCCACCAGTAAGAGCTTGTTCACATTATCTGAGGACTCCAGTCTGAGGGGAGGAGCACACACAGGTGAGACGTCAGACAGGTGAGCACACAGGTAAGGGACAGGTGAGAAGACAGACAGGTAACCAGCAAAACAAACTGGCACTCAGATAGACACCTGGACAGACAGGTGGGCAGGTAAACAACCTGTCAGACAGGTGAGTTGGAGGAAAGACAAGTAAGACATGTCAGGAGGCAAGCAGGTAGTTGTTGACAAACCAGTGAGTTAGACAGGTGTAGACAGGTGTAGAAGGGTAAATGAGACAGGTGTAATTGGACAGGTGAGACATGGAATGTAGAGAGACAGGTAAAGCACTACAGACATGCAGGTGAGACAGATGGTGAAGATAGACGGGGTGTACAGGTGACGTGTAGTCGGACAGGTGAGATAGATGTAGACAGGTGCAGAGAGATATGTGAGAGGTGAGATAGGGGAAGATAGACAGGTGTGTACAAGTCACACAGGTGTGGACAGACATGTAAAGACAGGTGTGTACAGGTGGGACAGGAGTGGACAGGTGTAGACAGACAAGTTAGACAGGTGAATATAGACAGGTGAGACAGGTGTGGACATACAGGTGAGACAGGTGTGGACATACCGGTGAGCGCAGGCCCTGACGCTGGGCGGAGGGTAGCACTTGGCGTTGTCCTCCACAGGTCCGGTCATGTGACTCCTCAGCTCCGTCAGATTGGCCGACAACTTCAGCACTCGGTTGACGGCGCCGACGAACACCTCACCTGTCCTCCGGTGGACGGTCAGGTGGGTGAGGGAGGTGTCGAAGGCCCGGTACACGACCCGGCCCGACGCCGCGGAGGGAGGAGGAGGAACAGCCGGGGCAGAGAGGAGGGGGGAGGAGAGGAGGAGGAGGGAGATGAGGAGGAGGAGGAGGACAGATGAGGAAGAGGAGGAGAGGAGCATGATGGACAGAAAGAGGAAGAGGAGGAGAGGATGGAGGGACAGAGGAGGAGAGGAGGGGAGGAGGAGAGAAGAGCTGCTGCAGGTCTGATGAAGAGTCAGCTTCAGCTGGACATGGCTGCAGAGAGACAGAAGACACAGTCAGAACTCCATAGACAATCTGTCCAATTTAAAGAGTCCTTTATATAGGCAGCCTCAGGAAGACATGATG